CTCTCAGAACGCATCCCGCGGATGGCATAAAGCTAAAGGCGGTGGCTCGCAGTCGGCGCCTCGTCCGCGGGGCTGGCGCCTGGCACCTCAACTGCTCGAGGGGGCCCCCGAGATACGGGGGTGCTGCTGGCGATGCCCAGCGCCTCGCTCCGGTGGCGCCACGCCCCCCTTCCCCCTTCCTCCTTTTCCAGATAGTGCATCAAAGGTGATTTACATTGAAAGTACCACGAATATGGGGGGGCCATCGGCGGAATGGCCCCGGAACGTCTTACACTATAGCCATCCACACCCACCGGCTCAAGAACCTGCGCCCAACACTCTAAACTTTATACTGGAAAATTTGCCTTGTAACAACTTAAGTTTTGTGCAGTTGTATATTATCAAGAAATCCTTTGGTGTTTCGTTGCTTTTGCTGGTATTAATAACGTTTTCCTAGTACACCCAAAAAAGTGGATACTTGATTTGAGTACGGTACTTGACAAGTTGAGGCCCAGGACTTGGTTTAAGAATTTCTTTAGATCAAATTGAGTAAAATATTCTCAAAACAAGTACCTGTCCTCAACTTGTCAAGCACCGAAACTCAAATCAAGAATCCACTTTTCTGGGTGTACCGCGTAAATTTTTAATACTGTAGGGAAACGTAAAGTCAGCAACCGCTGCAACACTCTTAAGCGTGTGAGGCAACTGGAGGGCAGGGGCGCCAAGTTTAACAATGCGCAAATAAAGTGCTCGCACACGGGAAAATCAAAGGAAGGCGTATCGGTCGGGCTTTCAAGTGGATGCGGCAGAGGAAACAGGAAACGCAACCCCGTCTCGTCTCGTGACTTTCAAGTATTTTAGCGCTCGGTTCCCCAAAGCCACCTGTAGCCTGGAGCTTAGTAAGCCGCCCCCCGTTTTTTTGAAGATGTTTCGCCGTTTATGTCGATGCGAAAATGTACAAAGAGTGCGATTCCTCATTTTCTCGAGTGAGGATAACGATCCGACTGCAATACGGTAGATTAAAGCGCTCACTTTAATCTGCTGTAGTGGTAACACTGGCCGGGGCTTATACGGCGACACAATATCTATAGTGCCGGCAGAAATGGCCCCGGGACTGGGCGGGACACCCACTTACGCGCGCCGTCGTGCGAGTTGGCACTACTGGAGGAGAGCAGACGACCAGCGTCGCCAACCTAAACGCGCGGTCCCTCCTGTATTTATTGCACATCATGCCTTTACTGCTGTCGGGTTGGCGACCCTGGTGCAGGCAGCTGCCCCCCGCGCGCTCGCCGGAACATTCTTCAACGGCGCGCGCGGACTCCCCGAAATAAGCCACATTGCATGGCCAGTCACACGCTGCCATCAATTTCTCGTACTCTTCGAGAGACACTACCAGCCGCACTCCGGCGCACTGGCTGGCGGGCGGCGATCCGGCCAGAACTGATGGACGGCATCTCCGCTCGCTGGTGTCTCCAGTTCTGCGGGTGCAGGAGCGGGCAAGGGGTAACCCTAAATCCGGTTAAATATCGTCTCTTTAATAAATTGACGGCAAGGCTGCAAGGCTTACCCGCTTTTATAAGAAAAATTTGTGATGCTCGGCATTTCTTTTGAATTGACGACCTGAGCTGGGCAAAGAAGGTACCTTTACGCACATGACACGCCATCGGCACCGGCAGTTGGCGCCAGGCAGGCACCATCTCGACGCAGCAATGCCCCCCCCCCCCCTCCATCCCTTTCCCGACCCCGTTTCTCCTCACACTAGAGGCCACTAGAGGCGCTACGTCGTCAGTTACACGAAAATAGCGCAAATTTCTGGGCTACGGAAGGAGCGTGAGGGTGAAGAGAAGGGGCAGAGGCGGAGTGGTCGTGTGGGGACGGTGGTGCCTCTATGGTACGATGGGAAGGGGAGGAGCAGGGGGGGTTGGGTTAAGATCCAACCGCATATAAACGTATCCCCTCACACGCATTTGGCACGCACTAGTAGTGTTACTGTCCCCAAGTATACTCCCCCCAAGTCAACGCCACCCCCTCCCCCATTAAATGGGCTCTTAATTACCCTCCCCCTCCGGTCAACCCTCCCCCTCTATC